TCTCTCTCTCTCTCTCTCTCTCTCTCTCTCTCTCTCTCTCTCTCTCTCTCTCTCTCCGTTCTTTCTCTTCCTCGTGTCGTTTCTCTTTTTTTTAATGTGTAAGGGAAGTTACAGTGCCCGAAGCTAACCACCTTATGGCCGCATTATCCGGCATCCTGTTTATCCGAAATTCCGGAGAAACGGGAAAATGACCGAAAAAAAAGTTGTTGGTTTTTTTTTTTTTTTTTTTGCGCTTGAATGGGACTCCAACAGGTTCAAATTTGGGAGGTTTTTTTTCCGAAATCTCTTCTCCTCCTCCTCCCCCACCTCTTCTTCTACATCTTCTTCTTCCCCCTCCTCCTCCTCCTCCTTCTCCTCGTCGTCTTCTACTTCTTCATCCTCCTCGTCATCCTTCCTCCTCCTCCTCCTCGTCATCATTCCTCCTCCTCCTCCTCCTCCTCCTCCTCCTCCTCCTCCTCCTCGTACCGGAATCGATTAGGCTTTCGCCCCTATACCTTTCTTTTCCCCTTAATCAATTAAAAATAAATAAAAAAAATCACCGGATTATGATCCGATTATCCAATCGAATCAATCAATTCTATTGGATCTTGATTTCCAAATCAAGAACCAATGGAATCGATCGATTCAATCAATCAATCAATCAATCAATCAATCAATCAATCAATCAATCAATCGACGAAACAAAAAATCCGATTGGATAACCTTTTTTTTTTTTTCGTCGATTGATTGATTGATTGATTGAATCGATCGATTCGATCTGTAATCAATCAATCAATTTTAATTTTTTTTCGTATGAAGAATGAAAAAAAAACAAAAACAGAAAAGGGGGGGGGGGGGGGGGCGGCTGCGATGAAGTTGGCGGCGGGTGAGGGGGGTCGACGCGACACAGTCGGCCTCCCACTCCCCTGACTTGGCGCCCCCCCCCTCCTCCCCCATTTCTGCTCCTCCCTGTCCGCCTCCTCCCTCCTCTCCTCGTCCTCCGCCTCTTCTGCGTCGTCCTCCTCTCTCTCCTCCTCCTCCTCCTCCTCCTCGTCTTGGTCGTCGTCCTCCTCCTCCTCGCCCTCCTCCTCGTCGTCGTCGTCGTCTTCTTCCTCCTCCTCCTCCTCCTCCTCCTCCTCCTCCTCCTCCTCCTCGTCACCCTTCCTCCTCATCCTCCTCCTCCTCCTCGTCATTTTTCCTCCTCCTCCTCGTCCTCCTCCTCGTCTTCTACTCCGTCTTCCTCCTTCTCCTCCTCCTCCTCCTCCTCCTCCTCCTCCTTGTCATTTTTCCTCCTCCTCCTCTTCCTCCTCCTCCTCGTCTTCTACTTTGTCTTCTTCCTTCTCCTCCTCCTCCTCCTCGGACCTCCTCCTCCTCCGCCGCCGCCGCCTCCTCCCCCTCGTCCTGCTCTTCCTCCTCCGCCTCCTCCCCCTCCTCCTCATCGTCATCCTTCCTCCTCCTCCTCCTCTTCCTCCTCCGCCTCCTCCTCCTCCTCATCCTCGCCATCCTTCCTCCTCCTCCTCCTCTTATATACAGCGTGTGCAGGGTAGAAGAGCACATAGCAACTGTGCAGGGTAGACACGTCGGAAGCTCCTGGGCATGTAGCAACTGAGGAGGAGGAGGAAGAAGAAGAAGAACTACAAGAGGAGGAGGAAGAGGACGAGGAGGGGGAAGGATGACGAGGAGGAGGAGGAGGAAGAGGACGAGGACGAGGAGGAGGAGGAAGGATGACGAGGAGGAGGAGGAGGACGAGGAGGAGGAGGAAGGATGACGAGGAAGAGGAGGAGGCGGAGGAGGCGGAGGAGGCGGAGGAGGCGGACGAGGAAGCGGAGGAGGAGGAGGAGGAGGACGAGGGAGAGGAGGAGGAGGAAGAGGACGAGGAGGAAGAGGAAGAAGAAGAAGTAGAAGACGAGGAGGAGGAGGAAGAGGACGAGGAGGGCGAGGAGGATGAAGAAGAAGATGAGGAAGTGGAGGAGGAGAGCGAAGAAGAGAAAGAGGAGGAAGAGGAGGAGGAGGAAGAGGAGGAGGAGGAGGTGCTGGAGACGGGTGAAGGGGGAGAACGGCCGAAAACTCACCTCGATGACGATAGAGCAGGAGGACGACTCTCCCGGCGAAGGCTCCAGCGGCTGCAGCGATGGCTCCAGCAGTTCAACAGCGGGGCAGCAGGCCGTCTGCACCGACAGGCTCGACACACGGGCGGCAGGCGGGGGCGAGCAGCAGGCACCACGGCGACGGGGCAGTGGGCTGTTGCTGGGCCAGAACGGTGGGGCCGGGCCACTATCCTGCGCGCAGTCCGAGAGTGGCTGGCGCAAATTCGAATTCAAACACTGGCCCGATCTGCGCCGTCGATGTTAGTCGATGGACAGCCCAGATCGGGCCATTAGTTTGCAGCCCGTCACGGGTGCGTTTTCCCCCCCTGAGAGCATTTTTCGTCGTCGTTCATTATAGGGTCGTTGGAAGGCTGTAAAAACAAGGCATGGCAGTTCAGGGGGTGGTGGCATCTTGTTCGCAGCCCGTCAGGGTTGCGTTGCCCCCCAGACATTTCAACGTCAATCAAAATTTCAACGTCCCTGGTCGTCGGGAGGGTGGGCATTTTGAGTTTTTGGGGCCTTGCAAGGGCCAGGACCGCGTAGGACCGGAGTTCGCAGCCCGTCAGGGTTGCATTTTTCGCCCCCTGAGATTTTCAACGTCACTCAGATTTCAGCGTTGTGGTCGTCGGGAGGGTGGGCATTTTGAGGTTTTGGGGCCTTGCAAGGCCAGGACGGCGTAGGACTGGTAGCTGCCCGTAGGCGGCCGAGGGGACCGTGGTGTGGGTGCACTTTTCGAAATTGAAACTGTGTGGGTGCACTTTTCTCGAATAGCAGAGTACCTCGAATAGAAATTGTACACGTTGTATTCGAATACAACGTGAATACAACGTGTACCCTTTCTATTTTGGGGCCTTGCAAGGGCCAGGACCGCGTAGGACTGGTAGCTGCCCGTAGGAGGCCGAGGGGACCGTGGTGTGGGTGCACTTTTCGAAATTGAAACAGTGCGGGTGCACTTTTCTCGAATAGCAGAGTACCTCAAATAGAAATTGTGCACGTTGTATTCGAATACAACGTGTACCCTTTCTATTCGGATTTGGAATAGAAAAAACGATTGTATTCCAATACAATTGCTACCTTTTTTTTGGAGGTCAGCGCCTGCCCTTGTCCTCCCCGCCACTGACATGCTGCATGTTGCATC